AGGTCAGGGCTAGAGCCCCAGACAGGAAACTGGTCCAGCAGTTGGGGTTAGGGTGAGGTCCAGAACCCCAGCTTCCTGATTTCTGGATTGGGGCCCTTCCCATAAAACAGGGCTCCCATCTTCTTCTCAGGTCACCAACCAAACTCCACTCGGCTCCAGTCCAGCCCTGGCAGAGCTGATCACCCCAGACAACAGGCTCAAAAACTTACTGGCGTGGCCTCCTAGAGCAGTGGTTCTCAGTAGGGGCAGTTTTGCCCCCAGGGGACACTTGGCAGTGCCTGGAGACAAATTTGGTCGTTACAACTTGGGAGTGAGTGGCAGGGGTAATACCAGCACGTGGTAGGTTGAGGCCAGGGATGCTGCTAAACATCCTACAACGCATGGGGCAGCCCCCAGCAAAGGATTATCCAGCCCCAAAGTGAAGAGTGCCAAGACTGAGAACACTGACAGAGGAATACAAAGGCTTCACTTCAAATAAGTACGGGGCCCTCAAGAGAGAAAAGCCCTCTGCTAAGAGGGGTGGAGGAGACAATGAAGGGCGGTTCTCGGCCTCCCAGGATGCCCCTGTCCAGAGACCACGTCTAGAGAGGGGGTTCTAGGCAAAGGCTTCTAGGCAGCCCCTCACATCACGCTGTGTGGGAAGCAGAGCTAGGGGAGCAGGGGGCCTGTGCCGTGGGTACCACTGTCCCCTCTGCTGCTGGCGAACTCTCAGCCTGCTTCCCCGTTGAGAGGCAGGGAGCCGAGGACAGCAACACTGAGGCTTCCAGACCTCGTGGTGAACAGACAGGCGGCCCCGGCCCGGCCGAGGGCGGCCCCGTGAGAGCCCGCTCCCTCCTCCATGCCCTCAGAGCTGACCCGAGCCTGGCTGACCCTCAGGCCTCCATGGGCCAGGAGCATTGCAGCAGAACACACAGCCCTCACCCCCACCGCCACCAGCCGCCTGGGCCCTGGGCCGGGAACTGCAGGCCAACAAGCTCCAACTAGGGCCAAGACCACCACCCCATCAGGCCAGAAAAACTGCTCCCACCACGGCCCCTGGCTGCTCTCCTCCTCAGGATGAGTGTGCGAGAGTATGACTGTGTGTGAGTGTGTGCACGTGTGTGTCTGTCTCCCCCTCCAGACTGAGCACTCCTGGGGCACAGGGTACACCCAGTAGGTGCTCAATGTGTTTTTGTTGACAAAAGAGCCAGGGGCAGTGTCTGTCCCGAGGGAAGATATTATTCTGTTCTGGCTGAGTACACATTACGTGCTTCCTGAATACCACACTTCCTGAGTACCCTTGCTCAAGAAAGGGCCTGCAAAATCAGATCCCTGTGGGAGGCGGCCAGGGAGGAGCTGGGCCGGGAGTGGAAGCCCTGTCAGGACCCAGGCATTCACAGCCAGCAACAGCCAGGTCAAGTCCCCGGCTCAGCTGCCTGTCACCTGGTCGGCCGGTGACAGGGCACCATCTGCTGGTGAGTGCAGGAGGCGAAAAGCACTTGGCCAAAGTGCGGGTGAGCCTGGCAGGGAGGGAAGGAGGAGAGGGGGCACATGCTTCTCTCACCAGCCTCGCTCTCCCCACTTGATTATCTCACGGCTCCCGCCTAGCTGCTCAGCTCCCCGGAGATGGGTCATATCCATGTCCATATTCATCCCCTCTCTCTCTCACACTCACACACACACATATATCCAGAGGCCTGCCCAGCCAACGCCCCTCCCTGCCCAGCCCCCCGGAACCCACCAGGAGAAGGAAGTTCCAGACTCTAAACTGTACGCTGATTTCTCAAAATTCAAGGCAGGGGGACCAGCCCGGTGACGTAGTGGTTAAGTTCGCACACTCTGCTTCAGCGGCCTGGGATTTGTAGGTTCGGATCCTGGGCACGGACTTAGCACCACTCATCAAGCCACACTGTGGTGACATCCCACATAAAATAGAGGAAGATTGGCACAGATGTTAGCTCAGCAACAATCTTCCTCAAGCAAAAAGAGGAAGACAGGCAACAGATGTCAACTCAGGGCAACTTCCTCGCCGGAAAAAAAATATATATATAAAACCTTAAAAATGAAAACAATGGATGGCTTCAACAGCAGATTAAATACAAATGAAGAAGTAAACAGTGAAATGGAAGGCAGATCTGAGGAAATTTCTCAGAATGTAGCAGAGAGATGAAGAGAAAGAAAATACACAAAAGCAATAGAGGCCCAGCATGGAGGGCCTGAGGGCGATTCCAGGAAAAGAGACTGGAGGGATGGGGGACAGCAACACACCAAGAGCTAAAGGTATCGAATTTTCTTCAAGAGAACACGGTCAGGAAGTACAAAAGACTATAGAAAAGATGAAAAGAGACATGAAACCTCCGTGCCCAGCAGGGCCGCCTGACGCGCAGCAGGCCCCAGACAGACACTGGCTCCTTCCCTCCCCAGCTCTGGTTGGTCCTTCCTGCTTCTCGAACTCTTTGCCTCAGTGCCTCTGTCCCAGCCAGCCACGCCCTCCCGTCCCACACTCTCCCAGGCCTTTCCAAATCCTGCTCCTCGGAGATAACGACCAGTGTTTAAAGTCAGCCCCAAAGGCCTAGAGCCTCATCCCTGGGGAGGACTGGGGAGCAGAGCTGTCCGGCCTGATGGTCCACTGGCTGGACATGCCGTCGTCCGAGGCCAGGGAGGGAAGACAGAGGGCCCTCAGGGGTACGAGGACCCAGGGAAGCCCAGGTGGGCATGAAGCCTTTAAAAGGGAAAGAAGTAACGTGGGGAGAAAAGGTGTGGTTGGAGAGGAGGGCTTGGTTCAGGGGACAGGAGCTCAGTACAGTGCAGAGTTCTCGACTCAGCAAGCTCATTCGAAAACTCTAAGGGATGAAGCTGAGGAGGGGTGTGGGGCTGGAGGAAGGCGGCTTCAACTCAAGCTGAGGGGCAGACTGGGGCCCGGCGGAAAGAAGCCCACTCCCTGGGGGTGAAGAGGCCCGGAGTGGGGCGACTAGGGCTGGGAGCCAAAACTCAGGTGGCAGGAGGGGCAAGCTGGCTCTGGAGAACCCAGGAGCGCCTGGGGGCACCAGTGATGCTGCCCCACCTGTGCGAGGCGAGAGCAGCCTGGAACCCAGCTCTTCCAGCCCAGCTCTCCAGGGATCTCCCACTCTGCAGCGAGACACCTGCCCGTGTGGAGCAGCCGTCCCTCTGGGCCTGTGCACAGGGAGGCAGCGAGGGGAAGCCAGCCGAAGGGGAGAGGCAGGGCAGCTGGTTCCACACCCAGGACAGGGGCTTGAGAAGGAGCTCCCCCAGTCAGGTGGCTGCTGACGCCTGGAGGAGGTGTGTTTGTGACACGGGGTGGGAGGGACTTAGGCACCTCCAGCCCTTGGGGATGAGGAAACTTTAAAAATAATAGGTGCCATTTATTGAGCCACCTACATGCCAAGCACCTGACAGACACTACAATTACTCCCAACCCCCCGATGAGGTAGGCACAGTCACCACCCCATTTTACAGATGAAGAAACCGAGGCTCAGAGAGGTTAAGCGACCTGCTGAGGTCGCAGGCTAGCAGGGGGCAGAGTGGGGATTCAAATCCAGGCCGTGTAAGTGGTGGAGAGCCTTGAACACTGTGGTAAGTACAACCGTGCGAGTGACCCAGCTTGATGCCAGAACTGAGGGCCTCAGCCATCCGCTCACCAGCTGAAGACTCCCCACACCGCCCCCCCCAAGACCTCTCTCCAAAACCAACGCCAGCCTTTAAGTATGTTTGCTCACAGAGGAGATGCTTCTCTCACTTCAACTCAGTCCAACAAACACCGCTCTGTGCCTACAAAGTGCCTGACACTGCCCCGGCTCTTGGGGGTCGGGGGACAAGAGACAAAAGACAGACTCCTGCCCTCTAGGGATACTCAGTGGGTGCTACAGAGGAGGAAGCAAGCAAGGGGTACACGGGGTAGAGCTGAGGGCTCCCTGGAAGAGGTGGTGGCCAAGCTCAGCTTGAAGGCTGAGTGTCCCTCCGCTGTCTGGGCCACCACCCCCTCCCAGGAGCCTCAGACACACCTGACAAAGGCTGCTCACAGAAAGCCTCTCCCTTTCCAGTCTCTGGGTCTTTGCTCAGGCAGTAACCTCCAGGGAAATGCTCCATTGTGAGACTGACAGACAGACATAGACACACACAGGCACACACATCTCTACCTGCCCACGGAATGCCTCTCCATGCGCCAAAGGCCCACCTCGAATCCCATACCGTCCACCTGCATGATCACCCCCACGGCAGGACAGCGCTCCCCTCCTCTGGCTTCCCCCAGCACGCCTGTGGCTCTCCGGCGGCCCTCATACTCCAGTGGGTGAGACGCGCCCACTGCAGCCCCTGCTGACCCACGCACACGGCGGAGAGTCAGGAATATCTGTTGAATTCAACTAAATGGGATGCCTTGCTTAAAAGCTTGGAGTCTTGGGGTAACTGTACAGACTAAAATGCTATGACCAATTCAAAGCGAAAAATACGTAAGACACAATTCAAGTCAAACAGTGGAGTGAAAAGGGGCCTCCCGCTGGGTGACCGGAGAAAAGCCCACTTTGCCTTCGACCCTCCATCTCCTCCTGATCTGAAGACCGGGGCTCGTCATGCCTGGCGGGTACCATCCACCACAGGGAGGCTGTGCAGAGTCAGTAAGGCAACAGGCAGGAGCCACCTGCACAGGGCCTGGTACCTGGGGCTCCGTGGCAGTGCCAGCTTCCGTCACCTGGCCCAAGGGCACACACACTTGGAGTCCTCGGCAGTCCAGGGCAGGTAGACAGGCCCCCGGCAGCCGGAACCCCTCACTCAGTGGTGTTCAAACCTCTGTGACCACAACCCACAGTCAGAAATATGCCTTACACTGGGACCCAGCACACACAAGCTAAACACGGCTGCGAGAGATGCCGGGAAACACTTCTCGTGGTGAGTGGCCACACCAATACTGCCTCTTTCACCTCTTCTCTCTATTTCGTTTCTAAACTGATTCCACAAACCACACAAGGGCACCCTGTGGTTGGAAAGGCCGCACCCACGCTCACCCAGGGTGTCCGAGCCGCTCTCCACTGTCTCGTTGACCTTCCTCGCAACTCTGGCCACGGCCTCACCCATCTTCTTCAGCATGCAGACGAGGTGTCTTGCTGCCAGCCACCAGGCCGGTCTGCTGCTCACAAGGGGATCTGCACCTGGGGAAGACACAGGGCCGTGAAGCACCCGCCCACCAGCCAGGAACCCACCCATGAATCCACCCTCCCACGGGACCCAGGCTGCAGGAAGCCTGCGGGGGCGGTGGGGGGAGGCCCAGACCACTCACCTCCTCCCTCGGGACCCAGAGCCCAGGCCACATCCAGTTTGACCTTCAGAGTGGCCCATCTGCCCATCAGAGGGTGGGGACAGCCCAGCCCTACCGGTTTCCCAGGAAGATCGACACGTGTGACCTCATCAGACCCGGGGCCAGGGCCTGAACTAGTGGTCAGGCGCGTGTGAGGACTCAGGTGTGCGCTGGCCTGTGAATCACTTAACAGGCGGAGCAGCGGGGAGGAGGCAGGGCTCAGTCAACTGCAGGGGAGAGACACTTGTCCCTCCACAGCCTCGGAGCTGATGCCCTGTCCACAACCCCCAGGATGGCTCCTCCAGCTCCCCTTCGCCCACCTGCCTCTGCCAGGCTCCTCCTGTGTGCTGCGAAGTGGGGACACAAAGACACATGCAGCACAGCCCTGCCTGGTCAGAGCTCAGTCTGGCGGGTGGGGGGGGGGGGTCTCTAAGAATTCCCTTCCCACATCTCAAAATGGAGCGCAGGGCACAGTTTTAGCCTGCAGACCTGACTGTCAGCCTGATACCGAGTGTATGTGCAAGACTCCGAGGGAAAGGGAGGCTGGGTAGGAACATGAGAGATGGGGAAGTTGGATCCCCGGGGGAGAAGAGGCTTAAAGAAGGGTGAGGAACACAACCAAAATTATTAGGTGTTAAAGACACAGGGGACACACCAACTCCCTGTTTATTACGGAGAAGGAAATGGAGGCATAGAGAGGGACTAAATGACCTGGCCAAGGTCTAAGTGAGTAAGTGGCAATAATCCAGCCAGCCCAGCTGCACGCCCAGTGCTCTCTTCTTTACAGAAGTCACCCACACCACCGGCAGCAGCACCCCACAGAGAGGACGAACTGGAGGCCAAGGTCAGCACCCTTCTTTGCCCCCGGATCCCAATCCCTGCATCACAGGCAGCTCAGGGAGCTCTCATGAACTCCCTGTCGGGTCAAAGGCAGAAGAATGTGAAGGGCAGAGGGAAAGGGGATGGGGGCAGTGCTCAGAGCTGCTAACAGATACCAAGAGAAAGCCCGCACGTGCTCAAGTGGACAGGCAGGGTAGGCAAGGGGCAGCTGGAGAAGCACACCCACCTGCCTAGGGGAGAGTTAGTGGTGAGCCCAGTATGCGTGTGCTTCCGCCCAAGGAGGCTGACACGGAAAGTTTGAGACCACGGTGCAGTGGGAAAAGATTGTTTTTTGAAAACAGGCCTAAAGCCTAACTCTGCTATTTATTAGCTGAGAAGCTGTGGGAAAGATTCTTAACTACTCTGAGCTCTAGCCCAAGGCCCAGGATGTAGGTACTCAATAAATCTTAGCTGAAAGGATAAAGCAGTACACATGCAGACATGACACTAGCATCTAATCCCAGTTTCATATCCACGTGACTTTGAACAAACAACTCAGTGGAACTCATCTTTGAGGAATGAATAGAACTTCCATCTCTCCACCTCCAGGAAGTCTTCCCTGATTGCCCCAGCCCTCAGTGTTCTCTCCTTACTCTGAATTTCAGTGGCCCTTAAAGCCTTAGCACAAGCCACTTGGGTTTTTTATGAGCTTTTTTTAATACGCACACTTGTCTCCCCAGTTGGCCTGCGGGCAGCTTAGGGCAGGGAGCAGATGTATACTGTGCTTTCCCCCTGCACTTCACACCACACACCAAAAACAGAGGCTCAGTTAGTATCCTTTAAGGGTGGTGATGATGATCAACAGCCATCATTTGGGTTTCAAATCTAAATACAGGTCAACTCACTCTTACAACAAATCTAAGACACTGTCTAAATGAAAAAGGTCATACATTCAAACACATAACAGTGCCAGGTGGGCAAGTTGCATAAGGTGGCCCAGGGTAGGAGAGGAGGGAATAGCAAGAAGTCTGGCAAACTGGACCCAACACCGTCACCATGCTCCCTTTAAGACCATTCCCCTAAGCTGAGTCAGAGCAATGTTGCTGCAATCTTGATTTACTCCAACCCCCTCACAAATGGGAATATTGAGGACCCAAGAAGGGAGGAAAATCAGCTGGATGGAAACAAAACCCTAGGTCTCGTAGCTCTCAGCCCAGGATTCTTCCCACCATACCACGCTCCCTTCCTTCCCCATCCCCAGTATTCATCATCAATAATCACAGAGCTGTATTGAGCAGCAGCTAGAAATAGAGGAATTAGCTTTGACCTGTGATTCTGATGAGGAAGAACTTTCTAAACATCACTGAGGCAACCCTGGCCTCACAGCAGCGGGGAAAGGAAAGGTAAATCTCCAAGCTGCCCAGGGTCTGTGCTAACCCTGGTGGGGTCTAGGCTGATTACTCTCAATCAGGCACTATGCCTACAATTCTACTAGCTGCCACCAGGTGGGGGTGGTGGCGCCTTAGGCCATAGAGCCCAGGACCAAAAGTAGTCAGATTGAAAACCGCAGCCCTGGTGCAAGCTCAGACACCCCACGGTATGGGTCAGAGGATGGACATCGAAGCAGGAATAGGGGCAACCTGTAAAGTCTGAGCATCAGAGAAATTCACTAGGAGGAAGGGCCCCTTACATTCCAGAGAATGCTCTGGGTGTAGCATAGATGTGCCCTCGACCCGACCACCCTCACTAAATGGTCAGGAAAACACCCTCCCTGCACCCAAAACCTCCCCTCCCCCCAGTGGGAGATTCCTTCATAGAGTCCAGCTCACAGTTCCTCTCCCAGGTCAGGTGACAAAGCCTGTCATGCTCTGGCACAGTCAGGGCTGTGAGGTGACAGGGTGGCAGGGCCACGAGTGTTATAAGACCTGAGATGGGGTAAAAGGGGCCCAGAACTGAGGGAAGAATAAACTTGGGATAGTGGGAATCTGGAGTGGGTCCCTGAAACGGTTCCTACAAGGTTGTCCAACTTCACTGACTGCTCCTTTCAGCCCCAACCCAACACTGGGCCTCTCTGACAAAAATACAGCAAGCACTTACTGAGCATGTAACAGGAGCCTGGAGAGAGGCGTGGGGGATGGGGGGGAGAGAGTTACAGACCCACTTCTGACTGAGGGCAAAGCCCCCTAGGCAGGGCCACCCCTAGGATGTGAGGGGCCCCTGTCTATATAAACAATTTGAGTCAACCAAAATCAGCCCATCAGCACCTTGGTGGCCGCCCAGTCTCATGCCGTCCCACAAAAGAAATATCACGCCGGCCAGTGGGAGCCATCAGCGTGCACGGCAGCCCTCCTGGAGCCGGAACCCAACCAGAGGACACCAAGACACCCCCATGGGCTCAAGTTCTGGGCTCCTTGAGGCGTCTGGTCAACCCCAAAGGCAGGGGTGGTGGTGGCAGAAAGTCAGAGTGTGTCCCAAAGGGGAGAAACAAGAACCAGCCCACACGGGTCTGGTCTGGGCTTGGGGCATCCCAATCCGATGGCTCTACTGGCCCCTGCTTGTCCCAAGCACTGGAGGGCAGCCTTAGAAAATTTCAAGGAAAGCGCTCCAAATCCTGGAGACCCTTTTGCACAGGATCCAAACTCATACTCACACTGCTGCTGTCCCAGCAACACAGCCCTCTCCACACATCCCAACTGCCCTTCCTCAGAGTGTGCGTCAAAGTCCCGGGGAAGGTTTGAATCCAACACATCCCCTGGGCACCTTCTACACAGCCCGCACCGAGGGAGACAAGGCCTGGGGCAGAACGAGCTTCCCGTCTGGTAAGAGAGACTCGGGATAAGAGGCAGAATGAGCCAGACGCTGGCCTTGACACCAGGCCCAAGGAGCACGTGTGCCCTCTGCCATGAAGGCACACAGCATGGCTGAGAGGAGGGAACAGAGACAGGGGCTGAGCAGAGGTCCCCAAAAGGAGAGAAAGGAGGAGACAGGCAGCCAGGCTGTACGGGGCCAGGGGCCTGGAGGCCCTCCTCTAAGGCTGTCCTCTTTCTTCGCAGGGGACCGTGGAAAGCTTTGTGAAGGGAGCTGCCCAAACCAACCAGAGTTTTGGAAAGTCATCAGTATTGTGAGCAGCCCCATCTGTACAATGGAAACATCGCCTGCCTCACTGGGTTGTTCTGAGATGCAAATGATATATAACTTTTGAGAAAAGCCTTTGCAAACTGTTAAGCACTTCTCACACTAAGACATTACCAACAGGTGAGTAAACAGGTATAGACAGTAAGTTAGGATATAATGAATTGAACGCCAGAAAAAAAAGTCCTGCTTTGCGACAGCTGGCAACACTGCCCTCCTGCATCTCTAACTTGGTTTCCCCTAGATTGAAGGCTGGGGGAGGGGTGCTTTTTGCTTAAACCCTGACAGCAGCCCCCTGCCACGGCTCCCGCCCTCACCAGCGAGAACTCTACCTTATCTGGAGCCCGGAGATCTGTGCAAAGGAGCTGCTCCGACACCCCGTCCGCACCAGCTGCTCCTATATTTAGTTACTCGTGTGGTCACTTGGGAACTTTAGAGCCTGGCAGCCGCCCCGAAAGGGCAACTCGAGCCTCCTGAGCCATGTGCGCAAGCTCCCCCCACCGCCGGCTCCAACCGGCCCTCTGGACCACGCCAAACGGGGGAGCCGACGGGTAGGTGAAAGGCCGCCGGCTGGACTGGACCCAAGTAGCCCCGAAGGCCAACTCCAAGCCAGAACAAAGTTGACCCACTTTTCCACCCAAGGGAAAAAAGCCCTCTGGGGCGTCAGTGGGAAAGGCCGGCGCCTTGTTTTTGAGCCATGGGGCTCGCAGCGTCCTGCGCGTGCTTGCCTTTGGGCATCTAACCATCCTTGGGCTGGGCCTCCCAGCTCTGATCGCAGAGGCCAGGCCAGGGTCTCCGCGCCTCGCGCAAGGAGCCCGCCTCATCCGTCTACCCCACCCCCCGGCGCCCGCAGCCAATGGCTCCTCGTCGCCGGCCCTCCGCTCTCGGGGCAGGCGGGGACTGGGGAGAGAATAAAGTAGGCAGAGGAGAGAACGCCGGTGATCGCGGAGGGCCGGGGACTCCCGCGCTCCCAGGAGGCCGAGAGGCACACCCTGGGGTACGCGTCTGCAGCTTCCCAGAGCGGAAGCGAACCCCGAAAGTGTCGCTTCAGGAACAAAATATACAACGGCTTCTCCCAGCAGGGGCGCCTCCCGCGGGGAATGGAGGCCCGCTCAGGACCGCTTCCCCGAGCTCCCTATTCCCTGGCACTGCTGTGCCCACTCTCCTGAGCCAGCCAGGGTCCAGCCGCAGTCTGCAAGCCAGAGCCGGCGCGGCGCCGGGCCCCTTTGGCGCCGCAGAAGCCGCAGCTGGTGCACCACTGCTCTTTCCACCGGGTGACCTGGGGGAGGGGAGGGGACGCTGCAGAAACGGGGACAGTTCTCTCCCTCTCTCCCCCAGCCCCTCCAGCGCTTAGCCTGAGACTACGTTTACTGTGCAGGGCACGAAGCATGGGGCCCCGATCCGGGCCGCTTTCTGCTCCACTTACGGCGACAATGCCTCCTAGCGCCCTGCGCAGCGCAGTCACGCTCCCTCGGCCGCTGGCGGCGCCCCATGCAGGAGCGGCGCGTAGAAGCGGGCAGGTAGGGCGCGCGGGGCTGCGGGCTCTGCGCGCGCCGCCGCTCGGCAAATCGCCGCGCCGGGATGAGAGCCGGGGCGGGAGCCGGCAGCGGGCCCGGGCCGCGCGCAACCAATCAGCGCGCCGGTCCTCGCACCGCGCCCGGGAGGGGCGCGCGCGGAAAGGCGGCCTGCGCGCTCTCGTCCGCAGGGTGGATCCGCTTTGTGTGCGGCTTCTGGAGGGAAAACGCTTGGGAGGGCAGGGGTGTGGCCGGGAACGTGCGACAGATCCCAGGACCAATAGGACTGAGGCTCCAGATTTGTTTTTCTGAAAGAAATAGAGTTGAATTAGCCCGGTCAGGGGTACTTTGAAAAACATGAAGATGGGGAATAGGCAACTTGTCATGTGGTGTTTTCGGGTGCCATTCGGGTTTTGAGAGACAATCATTCTGGCTACACTAAGTTACTTCACCTCTCTAAATCTCAATGTTCTCCTCTATAAAATAGGAACTAAAATATATAAATATCTACTTCACAGGGTCATTGTGAGGATTAACACATGAAATATTTCTTGCGGTGCCCAGCAGTATAGCTCAGGGAAAGGCAGCTGCGTCACAGGCCTTCATTTATGGAGGACTCACGAGGTACCCTTTACTAGGCACTCTAGGGAGGACAAAACAGACGAAGCTGCGAACCATCCAGTGATGATCAATGAGTCAAATCCTCCAAAAAACAGAAGCATGGATTGAGTATGGGAGTCCTGAAGAAAGAACGTTTCATTCCACCTCTGGGGATGGGAGCAGTCACATAAGGAACCCACACTGCTGGATGTTATGGTTTGAATTTTGTCCCCCCTAAAAAAGACACATTGAAGTCTTAACCCCCAGAGCCTCAGAATGTGAGTTTATTTGGAAATAGGGCCATCGCAGATGTAATTAGTTATGATAAAGTCATACTGGAGTAGGGTGTGGCTGGTGTTCTTAGAAGAGGAGACGGATAGACACACGGGGAGATGCCATGTGAGGTGGAGGCAGAGATCAGGGTGACGCATCTACAAGCCAAGGAGCCTCAAGGATTGTGGGCAAGGACCAGAAGCTAGGAAGAGGCAAGGAACCCATGCTCCCTCAGAGCCTCTGAAAAGGAGGCAACCCTGCCAACACCTTGATTTCGGACTTCTACCCTCCAGAACTAGGAGAGAATGAACTTCTCGTGTGTTAAGCCACCCAGTTTGTGGCAATTTTTTACAGCAGCCCTAGGAAACTAACACAATGGGTGGGCAGGAATAAAGGGAAGGCAATGAGAAACCGCTCAAAGTAAGTCTTTCAAAACGGAAGGCCTAGTGTATGCAAGGCCCTGTGTCTTGGGACATGCCAAGATGAATCAGACACAGACCCTGCCCTCAAGGGGTTGCCACGCATGTGGATGCCTGATCAGCCATGTTTTCTAACTCCTTGTGCCTTCCCAGGAAGACTGTGGAGTCCTCTCCTCAACCTCACCATCACCCCATCCCCACCACATATGTAGCAGGTACCAGATCTAAATAACAAATGGATCGAGTCCCTTCTGCTGAAGCTAAGACCCTTATAACTCTGGACAAAGCAGACTGTTTTGCTGTTTCGTTTAAAACCAGTCTTATGCTTCTGGCCAACTTCCACACGTGGGTGTCTTCTCTCCTCTGCTAGGCCATACGCAGACCTGGGATAGCCAGTACAGTGCTTCTATGCATTAATAAGGGCTCAGTAAATACCACTGACTGATGGCCTCAACCTGGGATCTCCCACATTCATGCCTTTCCTCACTCGGTTCCCTCTCCCAGGAACGTCACCCTGCACCCTTCAACTCCACAAGGACAAGACGCCTCCTCGGCTCAAATGCCGCCTCCTCTCTTCTTTATGGGTTTGTTCTCCAGAGCACTTCCTACTTCATGTTCATTATTGTGCCATCTCTGCACAAGTCTTTTCTCCCAAGACTCTGCTTGATTTCTAATAGACCAGAGCTTGGCACATGATGAGTACTTAGATACATTTTGCTGCACAATAAAACACTCCAAAGCTTGAAAGTGGCTTATAGCAACAACTATGTATTTAGTTCATGATTTGGGGGTCAGCATTTTAAGTTGGGCTCAGCTGGGCAGTTGTTCTGGTCTCAGCTGGACAGCCCCAAGCATCTGTGGCTAGGGAGCCAGAGGCCTCTGCTTCTGGGAGGTGGCTAGCTGTCAGCCGAGGTAACTGGGCCACATGTCCCTCATCCACCAGCAGGCTAGCCGGGGCTGGTTCACATGGAGCTGCAGGGCTCCAAGAGCGAAAATGGAATCATGCAAGGTCTCTCGAGGTCCAGGCTCAAAACTGGCACTGCGTCACTTCCATAGTTGTATTGACTAAACCAAGTCACAAGCCCAACCCAGATTCAATGGTGGGGAAATAGACTCCATCTCCTGATGGCAGGAGCAGCAAAGTCACATTGCAAGGAACATGGATATAGAGATGGACAGAGAATCAAGGCTAGTTTTGCAATCTATTGCAATGCTCAATAAATATTCCCACAATACCTAGCACATAGTGGGTGCTCAGTTAATATTTATCAACAGTGCTAAGATTTTCAATCAGAGTATTTACAGACTTCAGTCAACACAGTCAACTGGCAAAATTTTATACCTTACTCATAAGATATCTGTTGCCACCTTCAGTTTCAGACTAGCAAATGAGGAGATCAGGAAGATAGGGCTGTGCAAGGGGAAGCCCCACTGAGGCTTCTCAATGAAGAAGATCAGCTGGCCCCAAACAGGCTCCTCTGAAGAGCAGCATCTCTGGGGGCCTGGGCCTCTTAGGGACCTGGTCCAAGCCGAGTCACCTGAGTTGGAAGCCATACAGCCTTCACCTGTGAATAGAGAGATGTTTTCCAGGGCTTGAACACAGCCTCTGAGGATGCTTGAAAGCCTGCAAGCTGCCTTCCAGATAGGAACCTCCTGTGTGGTGGCAAAATTATCTGGCTGTTTCCTGGAGGGTCTACCCCTCCCTGAGCAGGATGTATTCTCAGGGCACTTCTGGAAGGGATACTGTCCTGTGGACAGAGCCAGCAGCTCAGCTCTTATGACTGACGGCCCTGATGGAGACCACCTTCCATCAAAGAATTACTAGAATCTCTCAAGGCCTGTTGTGGGTTGAATTGCGTCCCACCAAAAAGACATGTTGGAGCCCTAACTGCCCACCCCTAGTACCTCAGACTGTGACCTCATTTCACAATAGGGTCTTTATAGAGGTAATCAAATTAAAATGAGGTCAGTAGGGTAGACCCTAATCAAACATGACTGGTGTCCTCTAAAAAGGGGAAATTCAGACACAGATGGACACGCATAAAGGGAAGACAATGTGAGGAGACACAGGGAGAAGAGGGCCATCTACTGGCCAAGGATTGGAGTCTGGAACAGATCCTTCCCTCACAGCCCCCAGGAGGAAGCGGCCCTGCCGACACCTTGATTTTGGACTTCTAGTCTCCAGAACTGTGAGACAATACATTTCTGTTGCTAAGCCACCCAGTTTGTGGCACTTTGTTACAGCAACCCTAGAAAATTAATCGAATGCCTCAAATCTCTCCTTTTCCATTCTGTTCTCATATTTGCCTTGAGGGAAAATACCCCTTGTGGGAAAATACATTCACGTAGAAACAAACATGAAGTCCAAGTGACACATGTGAGCTAGACACCATACATCACCCTCTGCCTCCCCCGGTCTTCCACCTGGAGCCACACCTCTGCCCGGAGCCGAGTCAGCAATAGCCAGGAAGTTGAGGTCACTCTCAGTAACTACCTTCCTAAGCAGAACAGAAGTTCATCTAGTCCCTCTTGCAAAAGATTCAGCCTGATGAGAGGCACCCACCATAAGTACCACCCCAGCTACTGCAGGGCTTGCAAAGATGAGCAAGAAGCAATCAGCACCCTCAAGACGCCTGCTCTTGGCTATGGAAGATAATACTCATCTAAAAAATGATGATAATGAAGAGTTTCTCAAGCTTCAGCCATTGCCAGACCAACTTCCCGGTATTTACCGTATCTGAGCCCCACCCAGTGGTGAGCTTGAGTCACTTGTACAGGCTCAGAGAGCTCATTCTGCACATCTTTTTCCAACTCTA